CCTCTAACCTGCTTCCAGAAAAACTAAGAACTACATCAAAATTTTAGATTCCTCAGCTGCATTTGTTGCTGTAAGAGTTACTTGGCTTAGCTTGATGAGTCCCTGCTTCCTGTTCAACATCAATAAGTGGAAGAGGCTTGAGTCAGGATAACATATCATTCTGGTTTGCCTGGGTCTGGGACATAAGACTTTCAGTACTAAAAAGGGAAAGTACTGTGCAAATCTGGGCTTGTTTGTCACCCTTGTTGGGTAACTAGTTAGATTGTAGCAAATGCTACATTAAATGAAAATTCCATGTAGAGCAGGCCCAGCTCTGGGATAAGTGGTAGTAACACATTTCCTACTTAAAAAGCTCCTTTAGCATGTGCTTTTGGCACCCAGGTCACAGCCTTAGTGAAAAGAAAATTCTTTGACCATTTAAGAAATCATTTTTAAGAAATCAACTTTTTTCAGTTTTAAGAAATTTTTAAGAAATCAACTTCCACAATCTTCTAGCTCTCTACTTATTCAAAAGACAGCTAGAGGATCTTTAAGCATTTTGCCACTATCACCAGAGTTGTTTCAAAGACAAATGACCTCAAACCTGGGACTCTATGGCATTCCATTAACATCTGGTATTTCCAGGACTTTGATATTTCCCCTACTAATAGCTCCTCAATCATATGCATCTCAGTTGAGTTATGACTAAACTCTCATTTTCTTCTTTTATAAACTAAAAAGTTTATACAGATTGAGGCTTAATAAGTTACAAGGAGTTTCCTTCTTAATAGGCAGAGTATATTTTATCCAAAGGGTTTCAAAAACTAAAATTATTCATTCAACAAGTATTTATTGAGCAGTTCCTAAATTATTAGCAGTGTGTTTACTGTTTAGGATACAAGAGTAAGCAAAGCAAGCTCAGTCTGCCAGGCCAGTGAGGGTTGATGTGAAGTACATGAGCAATAATAATGTGGTAAATACCAAGAAAGTCAAGTTCCACACACTATGGGGGCCATCTGGGAAGAACAACTAATCTAAGTTTGGGGATCATAGAAGAGTAAATGGTTAGCATTCATCTGTTTCTGTATTCATCAATTAATTCAACAAAGATTTATTGAGTAATTTGTACCAAGCACTGTGATAGATATTGGAGATGAGAATGAATATAAATAGGACAGAGTCCTTACTGAAAGAGTTTCATAGTCTAGTATGAAAAAAGTAAATAATTACTATAAAATGATGCAATAAGTGCTATAATAAAGGTCTCCAGGGAGAGTTTCATAAAAGTGGTGCCTTTTCAATGGACTTGTGCTTGACCTTGAAGGTTAAGGAGGAACTTGAGGGATGATGGGGAAGAGGAAGGGCTCTCTACTCAGAGGCAGCATCTTGTGGAAATACATCGAGGTGTGAGAGAACATGGCCAGGGAAGGCAACCTCAAGCAATTGGATGTGGCTAAGGGTAAGGTGCTGTGAAGAGTGGCAGACAATAATTGGAATAATTGGAATTGGGGCATCAGGTCACAGAAGGTCTCATGCCATCTTAAAGGGTTTGGATTTATTCTGAAAATTATGGGAAGCCATTGAGTGGCTGTTAAATCAGGAAGTGACCTTTCCAGATTTGTGTCTTAGAAAGGTATCTGTCAAGATTGTGAGGGTGGACTGAAGGAAGAATCAATTTATCTGATCCTCAAAACCACTTGGTGAAGTAAGTATAACAGGTGTTTTCACTCACATTTTGTATATAAGGGTCTGGGACTTGGAGGTGTCAAGTAATTCACCTAAGGCCTCCAGGTCGTTCTAAAACTGAAGAAAATCAACACTTTTTCCAGATAGGAATGTAGATGGAAACCTCTGTGTAGTTGACCTTAGGCTTTGGTCATGCTATCCTTGAAAATAATCTTTAAAAGTTAGTTCTGGTTGAACTGCTGATTCCATCTGGTTTTGTGTAGTTGATTAGATATAATTTGTATAATCTGAATCAGATTCTTTGAAACATCAAAGTGCTCCACAATATGCTTTTCTATGTCTTAGGCAAAGGCCTGGGTCACTCAGTTTCTAAGTGTTATTTTAAATCTTGTAATTTGACACTCTAGGCTGCAAATGAACTATGAAAAAATGCCAACTTTTTAAATTTGTAGTCAACAAGAGACAGTTAACTTTAAGCAAGTGACATTTTTTTCTCATATTGTAAACATTTCTAAGTTGTTGACATTGACTCAGATCTTTGTGGGATATTGTAGGTGGCAAATAATTGTGAATTAGCTTGATTTGTTTTTTTCCCTTCCTCAGTTCTATAAATAAGTACAAAAAAGTCAATAATGCTTTTCTCTTCCCCAAAGTGTCTACAGTCAGTACTTAAAGTTTTCAAAAGTTTATTAATTACAATAAATATTAAAGCTTAAGTTAATAGAAAAAGAAAGCACCGTGGTTTAAACTATTCCTGCCATGTCTGGATTTTAAGAGGTGAAGGGTGAGTAACAAGTCTGTACATGTTAACAAGGGAAAGTCAGTTTATTAAATTTTCTGTTTAACAGAGGTTCTCAAAATGTAGCCCCAGGGCTAGCAAGCATCTGTATCACCTGGGAACTTGTTAGAAATACAAATTCTTGGCCTGAACCCCAGACCTACTGAGGGGAGGATGGTGGGAGAAGCAGCAAGCAGTGTTTTTTCAGGAGCTCTTCAGGCGATTCTGAAGTAGGCTAAAGTTTGAGGCACAATGGTATAAAGGAAAAAAAGCATGTCAGGCTACAAAAAACACCGTTGCAATTCCACCCACAGCTATGTGACTTCAGACATTTCATTTATTTCCTTACCAGGTTACCTAGTTCATAACTTAGTCCCTTAGCTGGTTTCATGAGTATTATAAATATTGTCTGGTAAGGGTTACTTGTTCACTTGTTGTATATGACTGTCTGGTAAGGGTTACTTGTTCACTTGTTAGATGTGATAGCAGTTGCCCTCCTCCAAGTGATTTGGATGCATGGTTAAATTTAAGAAACACTGGTCTATAAAATGTGATATATTGGAAGTGGATCAGCTACATAATTTGGGGAGCCCAATGAAAAATGAAAATGCAGGGTCCCTTGCACTTTGAAAATGCAAAAGTAAAGAATTACAAGATGGCGACAGCACAGTATAAACCAACTACAGCTCTCTACTAGGCACAGGCCTACGACTACACAGGTGAATTCCTGAAGAGGTGTTTCTGCTGGTCTCTAACCACACCTTTTCTTTTTCTCAGAAGGAAATAATACAACTAATCTTACCTTTTGAGTTGTCAGTCTCCAAAGACCATACTCCTTAACCTCCTGATTTTGTTACTGTTCTCTTCCTCTTAGTACCTATCCAAATGCATTTTTACTTCAAGACCCAATTTAAGATCCCCATCCTCCATCAAGTGTTCCCTTACTACTTTCACTCAGCTCTGGCCTTCTAACCTTTTCTAGAACTTGTTCTATGCTGTAAACTTAGCTCTTATTAATGTGAAAGATTGCATATCATTATGTTCATCTTGTTTCTTAAATTAGAGTATAAGCATCTTACCAATGGAGATTATGCCATCATCATAACATGGACACAGGCTTTTGAGCTCAATAAAGCCTATGTCCAAATATCTTTTCTCATTTACTAGCTGTGATATGTTAAGTTACTTCACTTTTTAAGCCTCAGAATCTTCATTGGAAAAATGGGATAGTAAGACCTAGTTTATTGGGTTGTTGTGAGGATTAAATGAGGTAGTATTTTTAGAGCCCTGGACAAACGTAAGTAATCATCACATTAGTTACTTTATCAGGTGTATTCTACCATACATCTTATTTTGCTTCAGCAAACAGGTGAGTGCTTAACACAGTCAGTATTCAATACATATTTGCTTGTTGGAGAGTTTTTTATTTTAATGTATCATTTTGGATGTATATAGGAAGTAAACCAATCATATGTTGAAGTTTGTATGAAGTGTTATTACCTGACTTGCTTGTAAATTCTTATATCCACATTCTGACTTGCAAAAGAAGTTTGATTTTGTACACTTTCTTTCAAACCATGTTTACATTTATGATGTTATTAATGTTTTCTACTGGGTGAAGAGAAACATCCTTAATGGGAGATAGGGAAGACTGGCATTGACAGGGTAATTGATTACTCTAATTTATACAGAACCCATGTAATTTAATATCCACTAAACTGTCATTGAAACTAGGGAGGGCTAAACTCAGAAAAGGTGACTCCTTATCCAGTATTTTTTCCTACTGTAGCAAACTATCTCTGGCAAACAGAAATATATGCGTAAAGTAATGCAGGAGCAATTTTATTTTAACTGACTAAAATGGTGTTAAATGAGACTATTTTTATGCTGGCCTTATAGTAGGCATTCAATGTTTGAACTGAAAACAGCATGTAAGGTGCCTATTACAGTTACCGGTTCACAGTAGTACATGCTTACTAAAGAGTGAGTTATTACTTAAATTCCTCTTTTTGATGAACCTATTTTAAAGGCACCGTTTTCTCCTAATGAAAATTTAAGGACAAGGTTCATTATTTTTAAGAGTTTCAATTTGGGGCCTAGCATGTCACGTTTGAAAGCTTTTTTTCCATGTGAATTATTATTCACCTTCCTTCTTACTGGCGCAAACCACACACATTTTGCCTACCAAACCTATGACTCAAAAGCTCCTGAGGACTCCTTGCAAGTCTCCCAGCCACAGCCCACGAACCCAAATCCGTCTCCACGTGAAACAATCAAACACGGCTCCCTAAGTCGGGGATCCACTACAGCAAAGGCTCCCGTATAAAAGCCGAAGAAGAAGGCGGTGCCCCCTGCTGCTCCCACCCACTCCAGGTCTGCAGCACCCAATCACTTTTCTGTGTCGTGCGGTCGGTGCCTGGGATTGGCCGGAAACAGGACCGGTGCGGCCCCCACCCTGCGTACGGGCCGAGTGCGGAGACTTGTCCGTCACGTGCGGCCGCCGGCCTCCCAGTTCGCTGCTCGCTTGGCGGGGCCGGGGGGCGGGGCCGGGGGGGCTGCTGCGCCTGCGTTGTGGGCGTTCTCGGGGAGCAGCTACCACCGCCGCTGCCGCAGCCGCCGTTAACGCCGCGTTCGGGTGTAGAATTTGGGAGTCCCTGCGCTTCGTTAACAATGAAGCAGAGTTCGAATGTGCCGGCTTTCCTTAGCAAGCTGTGGACGCTGGTGGAGGAAACCCACACCAACGAATTCATCACCTGGAGCCAGGTACGGGTGAGGGCAGGGCGGCCTCCAAACCCCTAGCCCAACCGCTGCCTCTCTCTCCCTCCCGCGGGGTTGCCTCTCGCGGCCTGCGGCTCGACGCCCTCTGCGAGGCAGGCGACGCGGGGTGGCTTGAGCCACGGGCACGGGCCTCGGCGTTTAGCCTCGCGACGGACCTCTTGTATTGTTCGCGCGGGGAGCCGCGGGGGTCCCGGCCGGCGCCGCGGACTCTGGCCGCGGTGGGGGAGGGGCGGCCCGCACTGACCGCCGCGGCCCCGGAGGCCCCGTAACGGTCCGGCCGGGTCGGCGCTCGGACCCGGCCCGGCAGCGCCAGGGCGGCGCGCGAGCCGCGGGCGCGGGAGCACGTTAGTGCACACTCATTCCGCGTCCGCCGCGCGTCGCGGGCTCCGGATGGCTGAGGGCGCGCGCAACCCGCGCCGGGATCGTCAACGCGGGGGTTTATACGAAGAAATCTTCACCTCAGCGACCTGATTCTCCTCCCTAAAAAAAAAAAAAAAAACGCCGCAACGCCGCTTAGCATCTGGGATCTTTATGAGGAGAGCAGTCAGGGAAGTAGGCAAATGTTCAAACGCAGGTTACTGCATAGCGGTAGGTTTTAAAATATAGAAAATGGTACGTTATTTTTTGGAGATTCTGAGCCATGCTTATAAACGCATTTTTGTGATTATTTAAATAAAAATGCTTAGAGGTGTTCGGTAACTTAGGAGCCAATGTGAATTACTAAATTTCTTAGAACAGTTGCTGGCAGAATGGTATGTGGATGTCTTGAAGATCGGTTTGATCTCTATTCTGCCACTGAACAGGGGTGACCTTAGCTAATCTCCTTGTCTGGCCTGAGTTTCATGTCTCTAAGATGAATGGGTTGCCTTGGTGATCCAAAGATTCCCCTTCTAGGTCCAAATACTAAGATTCTAAGCAGAGTGATTATTACATAAACACTGCTCTTGCGTTAGAATCCATTCTTAGTCTTTTGGAATCATTTAGGGACAGGAGTGGATTTCTCTTGTAGATTATCATTTGTTGGGGATATTTTCTTGTTAGAGGTTTGAAGAAGTCCAAGTGAAACTACCTGCACAGTGCCTGACACCTGCTAAGTGCTAGGTAAATGTTATCCCCTTTCTTTCTCCATTTCTTTTCTGTTCCTTTCCTATTATAGGAACTCTTGAGTTTTACTTTTATCTTAAGAGGGAGCACTATGTGGAGTACATGAAATTTTGACGACTGTTACACCATATTCTGTCTTATATTACTATGATTGTTCATTTTTATATCTCCCTTCTAGAACTTAATTTTCTTGAATGTCAATTTCAACTGGGTTGTATGTATTAAGCATTTGATGAGTTGTGTTCAATTGTATAGGGAAAGGGGAAAATAAGGAAGCCAGCCGCCAGCATACACTTAAAAATAAATATGTCTCATGCTTTTCATCAGTCAGAAGGATTAAAAGTTGACAGGGATGGATCAGCACAGACTGCTGTTAACTCAGCCTTAGGTTCATGTTAGAGATTGGCCTGAGTTTTCCCCTACACCCAAACTGACTTTTATCTACCTTTTGGCTTGGATGGCCACTTAAAAATAATTTTTATTTATCCTTTTATTAAGTCTAAGCTTATGTCTTATTACTCATTTTCTAATACATAATGGGACAACTGAAGTATAAATTAAGTGAGGCCAGGCACAACTTCTGTGCTAGGGACACAGAAGGTAATTAGTGTCTGATGAATCAGTGAAGTCCTTGGAATAAGTAATGAAAGTGGTAGGAACGGTGAAGATAGAATTATGCCTGAAAAGAATCTCGGAAAATCCTTATCATTATATAGATAAGGATTTGAGGCTTAGGTTAGATTATCCATAATTACAAAGCTAGCCTTTATTGGAGGTGGGATACTAACATAGGTTTCTGACCTCCCAGATCCATCTTCAATCAGCAACACTATTTAATACAGGTTGCACAGTATTTATTTTCACACCAAAATACTGCCCTCCACAAGCTGGTGTGGACAATTCTGCATTAATACTGTCTGGAGCTAAGTTCAGTTGCAAAAGTGTCTCTCTTACTCCCACAGATTTTTCCAAGTGCAGTGTTACAATAAAAAGTACAACTTAAATATGTTAGATGGAAAAGCCAAAGTAAGTTGCGCTCAGATTTTTAAAGTTGCTGTTTATAGTTGTCTCTGGTTTCTTTCAAACTTGTTTTGTTAAACTTCTGTTCAGGTAATTTAGCATTTATACTATCTGAGTGAAAATCATATTAAGACCTTTTAGAAGCAGCAGGTGTTTTGAAAACCAGGCAATCTTTTGTGCTTTTTTTTTCACTCGTGGGAAATAATTTACTATTCTAGCTTGAGTGTAAAAAGCAAAGGAAAAAAACCTCTTACCAGTGGCAGTTTGAAAAGCTTGGCTTAATATTCCTAAAGATACATACTTTTATTTTTCTTTGAAACTTACGACAAAAATGAAAAATGAATAATACCTCCATTCTCATCACTAATTATAAAAATACAATATTCTGAGCAATCAAAATTATACCAAATGTGCTATTGAGTCACATAATAGAAGTCTTTAAATCCAGAGTGCCTTTAAAATATATTGTATATTTTCCCATATTCCTTCCTTAGAAATTTCTTCTTCCTTTCTTTTTTTTTTCACAGTTCTTTTAACTTCAGAATTTTATATAGCTGTTTTAGCTTTGATAGTCAGTCTATTGCCAGAATCAAGGTCAGAGATAGTACTATTGGACAATCTAAAGCTGTTCTAAGTGCAAGAGTCCTAAACAGAGATTGCAGGTTTAACTTGGAAGCAACTGGGGAAACTTGATATGCAGGGACAAGTGGCAGTTGGATGTAAGTTCTTCCCATTGGTAGCAGGGAACAGCCTTTACTGTTACTGTTCCCTGTACAGTAACAGTTTGATGTATTTTAAAGTGAAGCAGTATAAAAGAATGAAAGAACTGGAAAGTCATTGTTTTGCCAGTATTACTCCCTTTGTCTCTGATCTTCAGACTACTTGAGGAGACCAAGAAGTGATTTCCACTAAAGATATCATACGCATCTGTTCCACCTTTGGCATTTTCTACTTCCCTATCCCTCTCAAATCAGACGAATCAGGAAATAGAAGGGAAAGGTAGTATAACAGAGTTTGTCCAGTGTTTTCTGTTGTGGATGAATTTGAGCAGCAAGTCCTTTGACTACCCAATATTCTGGTATCTTTTTAACTTCCCAGTAACCATTGCATTGTTACAGTGTTCCCAAGTGAAAACAGGAAAGATCACAGTGCGGCAGAATAAGAGTAAAATCCACCTTAGATGGGCCTACAGAAAAGTTGAAAGATTCATTGGCAAGTGTTTTTTATTTGTGTAAGTTAAGAGAGAATGACCTAGAGACTCAGAAGGAATTGGGGAACATTAAGAAGTTACAGATTGTTAAAAAGGAAAAAGTGTTACAAATTTCTGTTCTGAAAAGTACTTTAAAGTAATAGGGCTGAAGTAAATTGGTAAGAATATTTTAGATGTTTTTAACCATAAGTACCAATTGAGCAGTAACAACTGTTAACTACTCTTTGGATGCTTGCCAACATTTATGGGTAAGGCCTAAAAAAAACTACCCAACTCTCCCAGTCCACTCAGTAGCAGCTTTTTTGCCCCTTGTAAAATGTGTAGGGAGAGTTCTGTGTTATATTGCTTGAATCTAACAAGTTTAAATGGCAGTAAGTTAGAATTTTGCACTCAGGTTATTAATGAATTTTAGAGTGGAGACTAAAGAAATATTATAAGCAGAGACGCAGCCTGTGAGTTAATGAGGGTTGTATGACAGAGAAGAACAGATCTAAGCAGGAGGCATTCATCTCTTCATTTGGTATAATTTGAGAGTTGAAATTTTAAAAATATAATTTATAATTTGGTCCACTGTGGCCAATGATTCATTTATTCAGTCACTCACAAATATTTGTTGTGAATCTGTTAGGACCCAGCTGTATGCTAGGTACTGAGAATTTATTCAGTAATGAACAAAATAGCTATTTTCATAGAGCTTACTTGCAGTGCAGAATACTAATAATTACTCATAATTGAAAAGCAAAGACAAATAATGTATCAGCTAATAAGTACCATAAAGAAAATAAAGCAGGGTAAAGAGAGAATCAGTTACTGTCAATTAGGAGACAGAAGTCAGTATTCTGAACAGAGAAAGTTTAATTGAATTACTATTTCAGGGAAATTGGAGTAAAGAAAATTCTAAAGAATATAGCAATAGCTGTTGAAAAGAAGCACCTCATTGCTAAAGATAAGATAGAGTGCTGAGGTAAGAACCCTTTCTCGCAAGTCTAAGATACTGACCTTGTTGAAGAGCTCAGGACCATGTCTCACTCAATGGCAAAGAAATCACTGGTGCCACACGGGTGGAACTTACTGGAAATCCATCCTTCACTACTTGCTGGAAAGTATGCCCTCTGGGACAGGGGTCGGCAGACTGACCCATGGGCCAGCCACCTGTTTTGTAAAAAAGGTTTTATCAGAACATAGCCATGCTCAATCTGTTTACATATTGTCTATAGCTGCATCCTTGCTACAAAGGCAGTGTTAATGAACATACTATCTGCAAGTCTAAAATATTTAATGTCTAGCCTTTAAAAAAAATCTTTATCAGTTCTTGCTCTAGAATATCTTAGAAAGCTGTTCATGGGAAAGATGTCTTGCCGGATTTACTCTAGTTTACTCCAAAGAGAAAGGGAAGTTGCTCACCTTGGTGTGCTGCTGACCTCCATGCACTGTAAGTGCTAGTTGCTGGAGAACCTTCCTGGACTGCAGGAACCTGCCATTGCTGAACTGGGAACCAGGAAAGAGAACCTCTTCCTTTTGTAAAACCTTTCTAGTATCTATTGACAAAAGTTAACACCATACCAGGTAGAAAGGAAAGAAAAATATTTAAGGGACCCAGGTTCATGTTTTCAGAGCAGATAATGAAGAATGAAGTTGGAGCAATGAATTG